TTAGGGGACCAATTAGTTTTGTAAACCAGGAGGCAGGCCTGATTATATGAATAGGCAGCAGCCCCTGTGGGATGATTTCTGGAGCACTGAGAACACCCTAAGATCCCAAAACATACCCACTCTGACCATCAGACATCTAAATCTCACAATTAGAATTTGCTTATTTTGGCTTTAGCCAAATATGGATTTTACTCCTATTAAAGTATGTTAAGACTTCTTGGCCTGTTTCCAGGATGCAGAAAGGTGAAGAAATGAAAGCTAGGGACATGTTATAATTTTATCTTTTTCTAGGCTTTATCTTTCCCAGAAGTACACTGATATCTTGTGAATCATTGAGATGATGCCACAGAATTGAGCCTCCTAGTGTAGGCAAATCCACCAGCCACTGCGTGGAAGGAAGATGGGGCAATCTACTTCTAAAGATTTACCTCCTCAGAAACCCAAAGGCAGTCACTACGAGTTGGAATCGACTCAATGGCAGTGGGTTTGGTTTTCTTGGTTAGGGTAGGTTTAGTTCATCCAATGTGGACATTGGTTACGTCAACAGCCATGAAGGAATTATTTACTTACTCTACAAATATTTATTGAGTGTCATAGGGCCTGGTACATGGTAGTATATTTCCCACGGAAAATTTTCAAAGTCTGCATTTTATGACACAGAATGAATCAGATTGTAACTGTCTTTTTATAAACTCATAGAAATCATATAATTAATTATACAGTGTACCATGTATGACACATTAGCACAACACACAGTTCTAAATGCACAGATGGCACGCGTCAGGGAGAATGGTTAGTCTACAGTCTCACACTAGGTTCCACCAAAAACCTGTCAGATCTGTGTGACCACTACCCTCCTTAGTAAGTCAGCTTTGGCTGACAATGCTGTTGCATCATAATTACACTTCCCCATTATAGACTTATCCTGGGCTTGTGTGCCCTATACTCCATGGCTCCTGTCTATGTCCCTGCCATCACACAATGCCTAGGAGATGTAGGTTTCACGATGGTTTCACAGCAAACTTACTTCTGCCCAGCTTCTCCTTGGCCTGCGCAAGGTCCATACTTATAAGCATACACCAGGCGAGGAATAAAGTCGGATGTTATCGCTATGACAAATGCATTTGTAATAACAGAAAGAATCCCAATGCCTTCAAGGATTCCATACCAAATTCCTGTTCAAAGAGAATGTATTAAGTTAGTTCCAGACATAACAGCAAAAGTACTAAGGAACAATCAGAGTGACTAATTTTCAATAGCTTTCCATAGGTCCTTTCATCTTCCCAAACATAGGTAGTCCCAACTTATGATGGGGTTCCATTCTGACAACTCTATCTTAAGTCCATTCTGACATATACAAAATTTTTTAATTTTTTTTAAAAAATTCATTATTATTGCCCTTTATTATCAGTATCTTTATCAATCCAATCTTGATTTGTCTTTGAGGGTTGGAAATAATTACATATAAACTTATAGATATATTTTAATATATATGTAAAAAAAATACACATGTCCATTATAAAAATGGACAATGTTGGCATTTTGTCAGTTGTGGTGATAACTCCACTTGTTGAAGGGTCTGGATCATCTGGATTATTCCTGAGAATGAGGATGGCATTTCTAGTCAGAAAATTAGTAAGAGTTGTCGAAATGATCCATTCATATACTACAACATTGTATATAGTACATATTACTAATGATAAGGTGTACCAAGAAAATAAAAAAGACAGTCATAAGTGTGATTCGTTGTTACTTAAATTTGTCACAAGCTGGGGACTACTTGTACTGTCAATTGAAACCAAGAGCAAAAATCTGTGCTTGCAAACACTGCCAGTGTTTTTGAAAAGGAAGAACAAATTAGGAGGATTCCCTTGCAAACACTGCATCTCTGTGAAGGTGTTTCTGTGGAAGTGCCAACGTTCATGACTTAACTCAGAATCAGATGGAAGCCAGGGAATTCTGGTCAATGATAACGCACTAA